AGTAAGACTGGTCATTGTCATCATTTCACGTTTTATTTCACAGCACTGTATTAGTTTGTTGAAACATGTCTATTTCTATTAGTCAATTCCTGGAGCCTTGATTTTTGCCAATGCCTTCAGTGCAGCTCGGACTTGTCCCTTCAATACCATTGATTCTTGATCATGAAAAGGCAGGACATCAATTCTGTTTGATACAATGGAGCTGTGGATTCCTTCCATCTTCTCCTGCCCCTTTAGCATGCAGTATTTTGCCCATTGTTGTTGTTAAGTGCCTTAGAGTCGGTTCCAACCCATAGTGTCCCTGTATAAGGGTTTCCAAGGAGCAGCTGGTGGGTTTGAACTGCTGACCTTATGGTTAGCAGTCCATTTCTTACCCTATAGCGCCACACCTGGACTTCTGGGATCTTTCAATATTGTAAATCGAGGTTTGATTTGTTCGTCAGTTCTTTCGGCTTCAGAAATGCAGAGTGTGTCCTTCCCTTTTGACTTTCTAACTCTAATTTCTTCACATTTCATTATAACACTTTGCTTTCTTGAGCTGTTCTTTGAAATTTTCTGTTTAGCTCCTTATACATCATTTCTTTCATTGGCATTAGCTATTCTAGGTTCAAGAACATGTTTCAGAGTCCCTTTTGACATTCACTTTGCTTTTCACTTTCTTTCCTGTCTTTTAGGGTCCCAGGGACCTCCACTCCTGGACTGCAAAGTCAACCACTCCACTCGTTTTGCTACAAAACCTTTTGCTTTCTTCATGTTTGATGTTCTTGATGTCATCCCACAACTCATGTAGTTTTCTGTCATTAGTGTACATTGTGTCAAATCTGTTCTTGAGATGGTCTCTAAATTCGTGTGAGATATGTTCAAGGTCATATTTTGGTTCTCTGAGACTTGTTTTAATTTTCTTCAGCTTCAGCCTGAGCTTGCATCTGAGCAATTGATGGACTGTTTGACAGTCGGCCCCTGGCCTTGTTTTGGCTGATGAGATGGAGCTTCTTCATCATCTCTTCCCACAGATGTGCTCCGTTTGGCTGTGGTGTATCACCAAAGGCAAGGTCCATGTGTACAGTCATCTTTTTTCTTGTTGGGAAAATGTACGTGCAATGACGAAGTCATTGGTCTTGCAAAGTTCTGTCATGGATCTCTGGCTTCAATTCTATCCCCAAGGCCATATTTTCCAACCACTGATCTCTCCTCTTTGTGTCCAACTTTTGCATTCCAATCACCAGAAATTATCAATTCATCTTGATTGGTAGAATTCTTCAATTTCTTCACCGCTGCTTGGTAAGTAAATTTGAATAATAGTATTACCTGGTCTTCCTTGTAAGTGTATGGATTTTATCCTATCACAGACAGCATTGTACTTCAAGATACATCTTTTTGGAGATGAATCGACACCATTCCTCTTCAATTTGTTGTTTCTGGCATAGTACACCATATTTTTGTCAGATTCAAAATGGTCAATACCAGCCCATTTCAGCTCACTAATACCTAGGATACCAATCTTTGTGCAGTTCCATTTTATTTCCAATTTGGAAGAAGTACAGTACAGTTTATTGAATGTAAAGCTGATGATCTGCTCTATAAACTTTCCCTCAATTCACAATGAAAAGTCTAAAGAAAACAATAAAAACGGAAACAATAAGGAGCCCTTAGGATGCAGCGGGTTAAGCTTCTGCTAACTGAGATAGACTTCATCCTGTGGATGGCAATGGTTAAGTGCTCACATGCTAAAATCAAAAGGTTGGTGATATGAAACAACATGAACTTCTGAGAAACCTGGTGACGGTCTCCCGTACAGCCTAGGAAATGCTATGAGGCACCTTTACTATGTCTCATGGGGTCGCTAAGGGTCGGAATCCACCCCGATGGTGGTGGTGGTTAGGTGCTGTAGAGTCGGTGCCCACTCACTGTGACTCTATCTGTGTACAAGTGAAGGAAACACTGCTCAGTCCTGTGCGTTCCCCACAATCCTTGTTACATTTGAGCTTATTGTGGCCGCCACTGTTTCAATCCATCTCCTTGGGGGTCTCCCTCTTGTTTGCTAATCCTCTATTTTCCATACAGGATGTCCTTTGCCAGGGACTGGTCCCAGTTGATAACATGTCCAAGGTACAAGAGATGACGTCTCCTCATCCTTGCTCCTGAGAACTTTCTGGTTGTATGTCTTCTTCCAAATGCCTAACAACATGTTTTACCCATCCAATGACACTAATATGTTGTTAAGGGCTATCGAGTCGATTCCGACTCATACAGGGTTTCCAAAGAACAGCTAGTGCGTTTGAACCATTGACCTTTTGGTTATATGATAGGAATTTTAAAAATTCTTTTGTTGTTGTTGTTATGTGCCATGGAGTCGGTTCCGACCCATAGCGACCCTGTACAGGGTTTCCGAGGCTGTAAATCTTTACGGGAGCAGAAAGCCTCATCTTTCTCCTGCGG